GCTGGCCCGGCGCTTCTTGAAGGCGCCGAACGCCCCCGCCCACCACCACCTCATCATGGTGGCGCTGGCGCGGCGGTGGGATGGGCCGGCGCGGTGGATCGAGGAAGGTGAGTCGGCGAGAGGAGAGGGGAGGAGCGGAGCAGGTGGGGAGCTTGGGTTCTGGGTTTTGCGTCTTGGTCTTTGTTTGCTAAAGCTGCTTTACTTTATGGCTGGCGATTCTGTTGCGGCCTGTGTCGCCTCTCTTCCCGTTCCTTCCCTCCCACCGCTGTAACCGCCTCTCTCTCTCTCTCTCTCTCTTGAACTCCTTCATTCTTTCTTTCTCTTTTTTTTGACGTGAAAATGGAGATTCCATTAAACTTCAAGCACAGCAATATCACTGGCTTGCAGTTTTACAATGCAATTGAGGGCAGAGGCCTCCCAAAAGAAGTCATCAGACCCAGAATGAACGCTCAGCTTGGCAAACTCATGGGCTACAGAGTTACAAGTGCGTCGACTGAAAGAAAAAGCATATGAATCAAAGTTTAGAATGCATAGGCTTCTAGCTTCCTTCACCAACACACCAATGGTTGCCTTGTCATATTCGTTGCTCTTCAAAGCTTGTATAAGAGTTGAGGAATCAGACTCGAAGATGATTCGATTTGCCCCAATCCTAATCGCCCCATAATGGCAGCAAGGCAGGCTACAGATTCAGATTGCAAAGCACATTTCAGGTTCACAGACTTGCCCGCACTAGCAGCGATGAATTCGCTAGCCTGATCACGGACCACATAGCCCCAACCCCCTGCACATGTATTTTCATCAAAGGCACCGTCGAAATTAACCTTCACATAATGCATTGGAGGCTTGCTCCATTTGTGAATGTCCGGTGGCTTAGGAGGCTTGTTTAGCTTTCGCAAGCCCAGGGACTCAATCAACATCTTCTCCATCCGGTGACAAACCGCTTGAGGCTTTGGAGTCACCTCACCAGCATTGGCCTTGTTGCGAACATTTCACTATTCCCACATAAAGGTCACGACCTTCAGCTGCGTGTCTTCATCACACCTCCATAGCTCCTGAAGCATGGAGTGGGCTGAATTGCAGAGCATGAGTTTTTCTCAGGTCTCTCCCAAAGCCAAAATGTTCCAGCATTCTTTAGCTTTCTTGCACTTCAGGAAGGTGTGCCCTCCATCTTCATTTAACCTATGGCAAACAGGGCATCTAGTGTTCAAGTCCACGCCCAGCTTTTGAATTTTCATGCGGTTAGCCAGACTATTGTGGGCAAGGCCCCACACAAACATCTTTACTTTGCTGGTGGCCTTCAAGGACCAGACATGCTTCCAATCAAATTTGACAGTGCTGTTAGCAGAATTTTCCTTAGAGCTTGCAGCATCTCTTCCCAGCCTTCTATCGCGCAGCATAACCCCAATCTTATAAGCAGATTTGACAGAGAAGATGCCACGTTGATCAAAGTGCCAAGCAAAATTATCCTCCATCCCTTCGCAGATGCTAATGGAGAGAATGGCCTTTGCGTCTTCTTCCTGAAAAAGATCACGGACCAACGCCTCGTCCCAGCCCCCGGTGTTTGGATTGAGCAAATCTGCTACAACAGTGATTGGGGAGCGCCCAGGGAGAGATCTAGGCCTCCTTGTATCGCCCTCGGGGATCCAAGGATCCTCCCACACCTTGATGTTAGTCCCATCCCCCACTCTCCAGATAATCCCTTCCTTTAATAAGTCCACCCCTTTTAGGATGCTGCGCCAAGAGTACGATATGCCAGGGGCGGGAACAGCGTCCAGAAGCTTCCCCTCAGGAAAATATTTAGCCCGCAGCACCCTCCCGCATAGAGACTCGGGGTCTCCAGCATAATTATTTCTCTCTCTTTAAACACACTCCTCTATTTTGAATTCCTTTCTCTCTCTCTCTCTCTCAAAACAGAGAGCGGTTTTCTGTCAAGAGAACTTTGTCGTTTCTCAAAGGCCCATAGGCCCAATCAACAACCTGCCTCAAAGGCCATCGTGGCAACTTGTTTCAAAGCCTTTCGGCCCAACCTGCGAGGGGTAGCTCAGTGGCCGAACCACTTTCACGCGCCCTGTTTTATCTTCTCTCCTGCAAACCTTTTCCATTTAGGCCAGTGATGAACTACAACATGAGCCGGTGCGTATGGGCACTGCCTGACGGTGACCTTGTTGATCAAATGACTGCAAACGATGAACATTTTGGATCAGTAAAGCTTAGCAGCATTGTCTAAAAAAATAGTCTAATGCTAGAGAGTGACAGGCGTCCGCATCGGCCACCTCCCTCTTGAAATCTAGATTGTCTGGCCATTGCAACATAATTCTCACCTACACAATAACTTCTGTACGTTGACAACATCGGCGTGGCATTTTTTTTGGTCTGTGGAATCGTGAAGAAAAAAAGTGTTATATCATTTGGAACACCCAATGTGATTTTTTTATTGTATGTACAAAAATCCCCAATGGTTGAGTAACTTCTCAAAGGTTTCGCGCCGGCCTTACAATGGAGTAACCGCCTGATAGATGTTGAGTCTGATTGTTTGGAGGTGTTTCTATGGTGGTAAACAATGATAACAACAGATCGAGATATGTTTTTCTTATAAATAAATTAAAGAGAAGCATGAAGGAACATAGTTCTTGTATTGCACACATCAGACATACCAAAATAGGGCTAGTCATTATATGGCTAACTTTGCTAGATTGCATGGTCGAACTACTGTTTGGCTTGGTTCCAGTCCAGAGGACGTCTTCAGTATCACCTGGAGTGGTTGTAATACCTAATTTTTGAGTAACACGAGAATATTTCCCCACCAAAAAAATCCCAATAGCTATGGCAGAAATCGTTGATGAACCACATTGCGCACTGCAGTATAGAGAGCAAAGTTAGCAGCATTAGAAGAATGGTTGCAGCATGAATGCAACTTTTCAGGCATGCATTCAGAGTCATCGCAACATGTCACCCATGCTTCCGCTGCAAAACACAAATGCCATTCCGACGACCCCAGACCCATCCCCCTTTGTGGATCATCTGCCAAGGGGTTAGCACGATGACTTCGGATTTGAGCCCCACCCTACATGTCATGGCAGTGCAATGAGCTCGCGTGGGTTCTCCAACCACGACAATGGAGAAGGGCTGGGGAGAGGGGAAGCGAGGAGCAACAACGTGATGGGGCAACTAATGTTGTGTGGTCGCCTGAAGAGAAGAGCATGCAACATGCATGTGCGAAAAGGGAAGCATGCTCATGAAACATATGTGGTCTCTCCCTCCCCCTCACCCGCCCCCGCGTCGCTCCCTTGGGGCGACTCGGGCGGCCCCCAACCCTAGCCCGCCACCGGCCTCTCCCCTCCTCCCTCCAGACCTTGCCGCCACCGGAGACAGCCGCCGGCAAGCCCGCGCGGTGCCGAGGAAGGTGGCGGCGAGGCTTGCCGCTCCTGCCTCGCGCGGAGGGCATGGTGTGCCGGGGTAGCGGCCCCGGTCAAGGTGGGCAGCGCTGCTCCCTGCGGCGGACGGCGGCTGCGGGTGCTCGACTGGGCTCCTCGGCTTGCTTGGGCGGCGAGGCCCCGGTGGATGGAGCTCGCGGTGGCCGGATTTTCTCCGTCGGTCCGCCTCCAGATCTGATTCGACCAGCTCCAACTCCACCCTCCTCGCCTTCTCCCGTTCGATCTGCTCGCCGGATCCGGCGGTTGGCGGTGTTTTGGCGGTGGGGCTCCTGGGACCGGGGGAAACCCTTGGCCGCCGGCGGCGGCCACAACGACGACGATGCCGCGGCGTCGAACTACTTCTTGGAGGCTTCGTTGAGGTATCCCACCCCCCACCAATCTGCCCCTGCATCTAGGTGAAAACCTTGGTCCTGTTTCGGGACGACGGCGGCGCTACGGCACCGTTCCCCTTCCTGAAGGCGCCGTCCTTGGACTGCGGGGTGGATGTCGAGTTTGGATGTATTGGTGGCTGCAGTGGCGGCATTGCTCTTCATCAACCTCTCGACGTGTCGGTTTGGTTCATGTTCCTTCCTGCAGTGTGCGTCTCCTTCGTGGTTGTGCCATGGCAACTGAAGTTTCTTGTGGAGCACAATGTGGTCTGCTGCAGCCCCTCCCATGGTACACCTGGTTGACATTTGTGAATCCGGGTTCTTGGGGAACCACTTCGCCTGCCGACGACGAGAAGGTTGTGGCCTCCTACGGCGACGAAGACGGATTTCATTATGCCCAGGTTGTTCATCATGCTGGAGTGGACTTGAGCCTTCTCCTTTCACATTGTTGCTTTCCACAAGTTCGATGTTTGTCCGGTGCTGGTTGCTTCGGTGGACGAAGACCTTGACTGACCAAGCTTAGTTCTTCAGTTTCATCTTGGTAGCTGCTTGTGTAGTCTTTGGTTTGTGCTCTGTCCTGTTTTGCACCTTGTATCGGCCGCTTGAGGTTGTTCTGCCTCAGTGTCTTCCTTTTCTTTTTCTTTTTCATGTTGCTTGTATGTGGTTGATCGATGTAATCCTGGCCGGTTGATGGCTTTGTTAATTCAAAGCCGGGCTAGGTTCGAGCCTCCTCTCGGGCTCGGCCGATGCCTCTCCTCTAAAAAAAAGCATGCTCATGTGCGTATGATCATTTGGAGTCTAGCAGGAAGAAAACATTATAACAAAAGAAACTAGACAGATTCTTGAGTTGATGGCCAATT